GGTCAACCAATCACGTACCGCGGTACCATACATCATGGTGCGTCACAATGCGTGATGCCGTAGCCAATAACCTCCGGTACGTGTGTGTACCGCGCACTTTGAATGGCTGCATCTGTATATTAAATCACCAGATTTGTGGCTATTGAAGACCTTTGTCTTCCCAAGCTGTGCCTTTGAAATTTGTGTTGATCTTGGCTGTTGCTGGCAATCCAGATGGATTTATTAATTGTGCCATTCTATCAATGTCAGTAGCTTTAGTATCTGCAGACACTGTTGTTTACATTATACGTTGGTTCTTCATAATGAAGCTTCCCTGAACTGAAGTACACATTTTGTTAATTGAAAGAAAATGTTGAAGCTCACGTATTTTAATTTTGTTTTTACTTTATTTTTTACTGGGAATGATTCTTGTAGGAAAAATGTATGTTATCACTCCAGTCCTAACTAAACAGAAAGGAAGATCTTGCTGGGCACCATGTTGTGCTCCTGAGCAATGTTCTTAACTTCCTGGTGCTGGTTCCAGCATTCCAAATTTCCAGCTGTCTTCACTCACATTGGATCGGCTAAAATAATATGATGATTTCGCTTTAATTTGGAGACCACCAGCAATTGCTAATCTGGGATGAGTGGAATTCATCTTTCTGCTTTAGAGATTTAAAACAAAACAGCTGCTGCATTATTCATCAGAAGTACACAAAGGTTTTCGGTGGGTATCAACACCTGCCAACAAACCCCCCCTCTGGATTTGTGGCCTTTCTTTTCCCTGAGTCTTGTTCCCCGGAGTGGCGGTTGCTGAGGGATCTCCTCCAGGACTGAACTCCGTGCTCCACGGTCATGTGGATCTAACTCACACACCTCCTCTCCAGGGATCCTGCTCCCCACTGATGGTGGCCACCTTGAACCCACATGTTGCCACAGTAGCGCCGCAGTACTCGGTTCCCCTGGCGCTGAGCTGCGCGGCGGGAAGGCCGGCCCTTCTAGAGCAGACGGCCACTGTGCTGGTAAACCCCTCTCTGCTCCGATGCTGTTTCTCACACTAACAGCTTTTTTTTTTTGAACGCCAGTGTATTTAATCCTCCTCCTCTCCTTTTACCCAAAGGGGCTGCAGAGGGCATGGAAGCATGTGCTGAGTGGTGTGCCTCCTGTTTGTGCTTTTGCTTGCAGCTTTTATGTCCGTAGCCCCCAGCGCCACTCCATTGCTCCCCTCCCCCAGTAGAAATCAGAGAGCTGGAAGCAGAGCCACACCCTCTGGGTGCCAGAAAGACTCAAAGCTCAGGGCTTCACCTTAATTCTGTTTAAAACCCTTTTGTCTGAAAGCCATGTGGTTGATTTCAGGACATTCTGGAATGGCGGTTTTTACAAAATATTTATGCCCACATTTGAAATAATGATGCCCCTTTCTCCCTTATTTAACAAGGTTTACGTTTCTGTTTCCAAGTATTGTTTTTGAGTGGAATAATATGAACCTTATTGTCTGTCTTTAGGTATTTTAGGGACCGCTCAGTGATCGGCATGGCTGCTTGGCATGTGCCCGCTCAGAAAGAAAGCGCTGCTCAGTTCTTTGTCCCTGTATTGTTTGTCTGTCTTCTGGAGTGGCATACCAAAAGTCTCATTCGTGTTTTGTTTTTCTCTCCAGATTAATCAAATCTTCCTTCTGTGCAGGTCATGACCCTGGAAACCAGCACATCATTCTTATAGTAGCACTTGGACAAACTCGGTTATATACCCACACACGTGCAAACATGCATAAGCTTGAACCCTTCCATTTCAATGCCATATGCCTAATAATTTAATATTATACTTTTTATGTTCCAAAACAGTGTAAGCAAACCTTAAAATCTTTTACAAAATAAGAAGATCAGGATGAAGTGTATTGTGTAGAAATGGCTGAGCATGTGCTGATAATGGAGCATTAAAATGAGTGTGAAAAGGGGACAGAGTGCCATTGCAGGCCTCATTTTGGGTGCATCTAATCTAGGTAATGAGAATTAGATCTGGGGTATCCACCTCCCAGAGGTGCGGTGTGTTTTTTTGTTTTGTTGGTGTTTGTTTGGCTCTTAGCTTAGGTACTTCACTTTAGGCTCCCGAATTGTCTGTACTACATCTTGAAAACCTCTATTTTATCATACCCAAGAAAATAAACTCATCAATCTAGAACTCCCACTAATTATTTTAATACTCTGTTTAATACTCTGTTTGAAACAAAAGCCAATAAACACAGCAGCCCTCCAGGAACTGGAGTATGTGAATAGTACCTGCCTATTTCTGTTCTCAGGAAATAATAGTCATGTGGAATGATTTTAAATATCTCTGCTCAGCATTAACTGTAGGGACATCACACAGTATTGTAGGATAGAAGAAGGAATGAGTGATGACACTACATATATCTGAATTATAAATATTTTTTGTGGAGGGACAGAGCCTAGAAGCTATGACCAGTAGGCTTGTTTAAAGTAGCAAGAGAATAGTGCGATGGTGCGCTTTTATTTTACCTCATAAGTATATGAAGAATTCCTGTCTGATTTTGTTTTCAGAATAAAATAGTGATGCAGAATGGTGTTTAGGGAAAATTTTAGATGCCAAATAGCAGTGAATAGTTTTATCTTAATTAGACTGCATACAGAAGTGGAGAACAAGTAAATTGTCCTTCTAATATGCTAATTTCCCATAAAGGTTATTAAAAAAATAATTGTAGATTAAGCAGAAACTGTACTGAATGGCAATATTATTCAAATAGTCTTCAAATAAGTAAGTTAAAGTAGATTGAAGAACAATTCAGGCTACTGTTAAATACTATTGTAATGGAGACTAGATTACTATATGACCAAAGAGCTTTTAAAAAGGTTGACTTGGTTGGACTCCACTTTCCGGAAGGGAGAAATGCTATTTCCATGCATTGTGATTCTGCCCCACATACAGTATTTTCAGTCGGTTTAATGGATACATTGTGTATATCTCTAAATTTGTGCCAACCACAAAAACTCTTTATATATATAGTTTCACGCATTCTTGCACACTTAATGCACTTAAAAATAAATGAGTGCCTTACATAAAATAAATTTGCTGAGACTTTAAGTGGTTTGTTTAATGATAGTGCAGTAGTAACTTACTTATTTTATCTTTGTACGGTCATCCTCCTTGCTTAAGTTCTTGTGACAGACCCATGAAAGGTATTTTACTTTTTTTTTTGTTTACTGCGGATAACTTTTTCAGAGAAATAGAAATGCTTCTTTAGGCAGGCTGTTCCTGGGCTAAGTCTTCCCCTTGCTTAGGTTTTTTTGTGTATATATATATATGAGACCCCAAATGAAGATGGCTCCCAATTAAGGCATTTAAAAAAAATTGGTGTATTGATTTGGAATCAACATGGTGACATCAGGGAGGGGATTAACATTAAGATATTAATATATGAATATGTCCATGTGCAAGTCGGTGGTAGTGCTACTGCAGTGTGAATGTTATTAAATTATAGCACATAATTTAACCCAGTGATGTGTAGCACATGTACGACTGCATTTTCACAACATTGCAGGTGATAAGAGGCCACTTGGCCCATCTTGCTTGTCTGGTAATTTAGTCGCTAAGAACATTTTTAAAATGTTGTCCAATCAATTCTTAAAAGGGCCTAGAGCCTAGAGTTGTTCCAGACAGTCCCATTTTTCTGTGGAAAAGTGCTTCCTCTTCAGTATCCTAAATAATTTCACTTTTGGTTTCATTTCTAGATTTAAGCCCATGGTGTTATGTATAGTCACCAGGGGAAACAGACCCTTGGTTTGACCGTAACTAAAATTCTACGTGTTAGAATTTTAGCAAATCTCCTTTCAGTGATCATGCTCATACAACAAGGAATCGTTTGTTGCTTTTCTTTCTAACGCCCTGAAATCTTTTTGTATGTATTGACCAAAACTGACCACCGGATTCTAAATTAAGTCTTACTAGTGCATAACTTTTTTTTTAATTCCACACATTTTGGTATATACCAAATTGTTCTGTTTTTTTGTTACTTTCCTACATTGCCTTAATGTGGACATAGACACATCTGTATGATAGCCAGACTCATGTGTAACTTCCTGTAGCTCAGAATCACCTATGTGATATTTACAGTGTGTTACTGCTGCCAATTTGGATCTCTTTGCATTGATACATGTTGGATTTCTTTTACTACACATCTACCTACTCCATTTTTGTCTTATGTTCTTTGTGATTCTGTGTCCACTCGTTTTATGGTAGCCTCTCCCATTTACTGCAAGTGTTTTGCTAACTGTATCCATATAGAAGTTGTTGATAAAGATGAGAAAAGGGCAGTGGGTCTAAATGATTGCCGTGGTACTCCACATGTGAATACGTGACCTTGGATTACAAGGGGTCTTACCAGAACTTTCTTGGAAGTCTAGATATGTCATATATATTAGTTATTCAGTGTTCTTATTACTTATTCTAAAAATTAAATCCTTTAGCTAATCTAAACCTTTTTAAAATTCATATTACCAAATAGTATTCCTCTGTTTTAGCCCAAAGTATAATTTCAATTACTTTTGCAGTAACAGAAGTAAGATTGTCCAGATTTATAATTTCTGGTTGAATTCTATCTACCTTCTTACAAAACAGTGTTACTTTTGCAATTCTGCAGAGTGAGCTAAATTCTTCTAGTTAGGGGTCTATGAATAACATTCTTCAGTTACTGGGCATATCCTATCAAAACTTTTTTATATATTGTTTTTTTTTCCCCATCTGTAGTACCTCAGTGTCAGTTAAAATAAAATTGCCCAATACAGATTAATCTTGTTCCACAACATTGAGCATGCTATTGACATCTTCTATTGTAGAAAACTATGTGGAGTTTTCGTTTAATGATTATTATTTCATCACATTCCATTATTAATCCCCTTAAATCTTGTAGACAGTTTACAGCAGCACATTTGTTCATTGTAAACATAAAATAAAAACATATCCCAAAACACAACATTATGGAAACCACAATGGCCATCTTTGTCTCCTTTTTATGAGGTTGGATGGCCATGTTACTTTTCTGAAACTCTGTGGTGCTGTGCTTTTTATTTCTTAAAATAGTCTTCGAGACAGTTTGTGTTTTTATGTAGACAAATGGGATATTAAAGCTTCTGTAAGATTCCCCCCCCCCCCTTGTTATTCAGAAATGATGATAATATGAAGTTTTTCTTGTTTACAGCAGGCTTGGCCCACAGGAACTCAGCAGATTCTCATACCATCACCTTGGCAACAGATGTCTGGGATTTCGCTCCATAATACTGTCCAGCCAGTCATCACTGAGTCCCCTATGGGTGCTATCCTCTCTGACAACATGAGCTCTGGGCAACAAATAGCCAACTGGAGGTGAGCACGGGGAGCTAAATCCGTTTATTTAAGGTTTACTTATTTAGTATTTTTCAGTTATTCTGATTCAAATGCTGGGGTTGCTGGATAAAACTGACAGCCAGTGTTCGGGAGAAACTTGAATCAAAGATAAATTGTGTAGATGTATATTAAGTTCTTGGCTTTATGCGAAGCGTTCATTCTAAAGTAAAAGTCTTCCGCCACAAATAACAGACACAAGACAAAACAAAGTTTTAACAGTTTAGATAATACTCACTATGACTCAATGGAATGCGTGGTATGTTGATACTAAATATATCATTTTCAAAAAGTCTTTTTAGTAATTGCAATTAGAACAAAACTTTATTTTTACTATTTTAGAATAGAATAAGAAAATAAACATTGTGGCTGCTTGGAATGAAGGTTAATGTATCAAAACCCAAAGAGATTTAAAAAAAAATGACTAGAGGTTTGTTTCACATAGGTTCAAGATCAGGTTAGTACTGAGTGTAGAGTAATGCACATCTCTTATTAGAAATTCGATATATCATTTTTATTGTATTTGGAAAATTTGGAACTGTTTGGCCTGAAGGAAAAACCAAAGAAATGGGTTCAGAGCCAAGCACAATCAGGACATGAATAAAATATATGAAAAATCAATTAATATCCATATGACCATAGCCTATTTAGTTTAGTTTAGGGTTTTAGCCAAAGCATAAAGAACTGTGCCAAGGTATTTGAACACAACATATAATGATATTATACCTTTATAAAAGACACTTCTTTCATATGTAAAAAGTCAGTTGTGTATAAACAGCTGTAAAAGAATAAAATGTGTCTTTTCAGCATGTGATCTGAAAGTTGCACAGTGATACTGCCATCTCTGTTTATGTTCTCAGTGTGTTCTTGTGATTGTTGTGCAGAAGCTCAGTTTACTGTGTTTTAGGAGCTCCCATGGTGGACAGTACAGTGGAGTGATGCAGCAGGCGTCTATTCTCGGTGGCCATGTGTCTTTGACCACTGCCAGCCAGCCCCTGACCACAGGAGCAGTGTCTGCTGTGAGATCCCAGCAAGGAGGGACCTCGGGGAGGAGGGCCAGAGCGCGGAACACGGACAACAGGACCAGGTGCGGTAGGCCACGCTGCTAGCAGGCGGGCTTTGGGTCAGTTAGTGAGCTGTATTATAAGTGGAAAATGAGTTACCAGCAGAGATGCCCATACGGTCCAGATGTGGTCTGTTCGAGTTCCATTTTCTTACCACTTCATCCAGTTCAGGGTTGTGCAGGAGACGGGGCCTACCCTGGCAAGCAGCACAGGGCAGGAAGCGCTGGGAACTCGACTGCAGCTCATTGCAGGGCACACACACACACACTCACGCCAGGGCCAGTTTTCCCAGAAGCCAATGAACCTACCAATATGTCTTTGGGACTGTGGGAGAAAAGTGGAGCACATGGAGGAAACCCACAAAAACAAGGGGAGAAAATGCAAACTCCATGCAGATAACACCCCTGGTCCAGAACTGAAAACCAGGGCCCAGCACTACAGCAATGGTAACAACTGTCCAACAGTGCCACCCTAACCAAAGTGCCAATTTGGTTAAATTCTGAGTATTAGTTGACCGGAGTCATCTCACATATTGGTGTGATGTAAGTACCAGTCACGTGCTGTCCAGCAGCGAAGCCATCGAGACATGCTCTCCTTCTCCAATCACCTTGAACTCTCCCCGATCTCTCTGATGTTGTAGCTTATCAAAAGAATGACTCTTTTTGCTGTGTAGGAAAGCATTTCTGCATGTCGTCATTCTTACTCTGCAGCTCTATCCATAAGCTGTGTCTTAACAATGAGCAATTTCCTATTATTATCATTTTAAAAAAGGTTTGTTGGTGCCGATTAGAAAATGTAGATTCTATTTTGGTGGCTGAACCTGTCTTAATGACATCAATACTTCAGCACTTCTTAAGAGAGCATAGTTTAGTAAGTAATTGGAGAATAATCAGTAATGAATTGTAATTGGATTTGGCATCTTTTTTTATTATTTCCTCATTATTTCACTATTAACTCTTCTGTGTTTCTAGCAGGGTTATGTCTCTACTGGAAACTGTGCCCCCTGTGGTACACTGCAGCCCCCTGTTGGCAACACCACCATACAATGCTGTGGTACCACAGCCGATTCTCATCACTGATACACCAAGCCCTGCTGTCAGCGTCATCACCATTCACAGTGACACAGAGGACGAAGATGAAAGGAAGTTCTACCCTAGCAGGTGAGATGGCATTGTTAAGTGGAGTTAGGTTGACCATCAGATCTGTTCTTTTCCTAGGTACAATCGATTGTAATTTGTGTGGTACACGGAGATGTCATTTGCTCATAAGGGCCTGTATACTTGGTGATTCTTTTATGAAAAGTGTCCACTCAAAGTGCAGGTGACTCTTTGCAATCTGAATGTTGTGGACTTGATCCCCATTTATAACACTAGTGTACTCTGAGGGCTGAAAGCTCTATCATTAGTGAAGTAGGGAGCTATCCAGGCCATTGTCTTACAGTTCAGCTCAGTGTTTGTCCTCTTTCCGATGTGATGACTTGATAGGGACAACTCTGAGGAAGCCACTGGCTTGAAGTGAGAGGTGTAGAAGAGAAAAAAAAACAACTGGCCACTCTGAATTTGTTTAATTCAAATGTATATATTGATGTTTAACTGTAAAACATCTTCTGATTATTACCAAAAAATACCATAAAATACCTATCTGTACAGGACGACATAGTTAGAATTGTTCAAGCCATAACTCTTTCTGCTACTCAGTGTTTTCTGTTCTTTTTTGAGGGGTGTGAACAACTTTGGAGGGCAATGTAGGCAGTGTATGATCTCCACAGTACAGAGGAAAATGCACTCCTGATGTGAACATTTAAAATGATGTGAATGCAATCATTTTTTTCACTCCTTGCTCAGATGGGAAAATATAAAATATGATCATAACAATATAGAAGAAAGGTTTTCTCTCCTGCTTCATTTTTTTCCCCTTGGTTCATAATTTTTCTTTTTTTTAGTTTTGAGCAAATAATTTACTAAAACACAAATAAAACATGTTTACATCTTTTCAAATTTGCCCTGCTGGCGTTTTTCTCTCACTCTTGCTGCAGAGGCTGAGCTTATGTCTGTATAGAACCGAGAAGCCTACTTTGATTAGAAAAACAATGTGCATGATGTCAGGTTTTTGTCTTTTGACTGTATTGTCTTTTTCTGGCTGTCAACTTGTTGCTGTGTTGTTTGACAGCTATGCAATGAAACAGCGCACTGAAGTCATCAGCTGCGTCACCGTCCATGATTCACAGGACTCGGATTCCTCGCATGGCAGCCCATCAACCCCAAAGCACCTGCCCAGCTTTGTCGAAGCTCCGGCAAATCTGTCGAAGTCGCTGAGTATCATCGTCCCTTCGGTAAAAATGCAGCCAGAAGAATCTAAATCTTCAAGAATTTCAGGTTAGCGGGATCTTCTTTTTTTATCAAACTCATTGGATAAAGATGCTTGCCAATATATGTATATTTATAGTAAATCCCATAAAAATTGTGATTAATGTGCTTAGTTAATGGTGATTGTAAAAACGTCAGTGCTTGTGAATAACAATGGCCCAGTGGCGCAGCCCTTAGCGTTGCAGCCTCACAAAGGAGGCCTTGGGTTCAGTTACTGGGCTGCTATCTGTGTAACATGTGCATGTTCCACCCTGGTGGGAGTGTGTGAGGGTTTGTGTGTGTGTGTGCCCTTTGGGGGGTGGACTGGCTTCCTATCCAGGGTTTATCCCGCCTCGCATCCAGCGCTCCCTGGGATAGGCTCCGTGACTCGGTGAGTTGGATAAGTGGTAACTGAAAGTGGATGTTAAGAACAATTTCGTTTGAACCTTTTTTCACTTAATAATTACCACTTTTATAGAGCAATATTACTGAAGTAACATTGCGTCTATAATAGCCTGGTTTTCATGGTGAGCAACAATTCAGTATTTTAGAGCACACTTAAGTCTCACTAGCCCTGTGATGGAACACAATCTGGTGTCTTGTTCCACACTTACAGATTGATATAAGAACAGATAAACATTTTGATTTTTTTTTTCCTTTTTCTAGGGCAGTTTGCTGGTGTTTGCAGTAAGAGTAAGAAAGCAGCTGTGCAGCAAACATGCACTTCAGCATCCTCCAGCAGTAGTTGCCATCCACACACTGCACCCAACAGGATCCAGCCACTCAATCTCAGCCAGGTGAGGCACAAGGGCAGAGAGTCAGAAAATGCAGAGGGGCAAGGGAATGGAGTCAATTGAAGGATCCTTGGAATACTTTAACATAATTGAACATTTCTAGACTGGAACAAAAATTACTGCAGGAGCATTTGGTCATGGTGTTCAGATTTGTAAAAAAGGATGCGCAATCATAAACCTTTAAACTTGAAGTGAGGAGTTCGGATTGTGAAAAGTGGGCTTTATTGTTTGTTCATTTATTTATTTTTTTTAATCTCTGCTGAATTAATACTTTAAAAAGTGCCAAATCTTAGCAGTGCTGTGATTGGTAGCAGTCCTCTACTTCAGGTTATTAAATCTGTGTGGCTTGAGTAGACATTTTCAGAATCTGGGTATAGTTTTATGGTATATCTGAAAACAGGAGAGGAATTTTTACTCCGAGAGAACCGGGCGTATGGAGCAGGATACCCAGCCATGTAATTAAAGCTGAAATCTGGCCTCTTGTAATAAACAACTGGGTGAGATCCTCCAGTCAGTTAGCATTTACTAGACAGGCTCAATAGACCGAATGGCCTCCTCTTGTAGGTAAATTTTCTGAAGTTCTTAATGATCTTTTTTGTAAAGCACAGGTGTTTACATTCAAATTGGAGTCAGTACTTGTTCCACAACTTCAGCCGTGTGCAACATAGAAGGAAATGGAAGAGCCGGTTTTACCTTGTTCTGGGAGATGTATTTTTAGGACTTTCGGTGCGTCTGTTGAGCTTGTGTTGATTGTTTCCCTCCCAGGCTCAGCATTCCATCACTTCATCCCAGGCCCGGCTGAGCGGCAGTTCCTCCCGCAGGCAGCAGGTATGCCCTACAGTTCCCCGGTCCGCTCAGGCACACTATTACCTGCAGAGCTCACCCCCACAGAGCACCATACTGCCTCCCTTCAGCTCTTCCTCCAGCCTGAGCAGCCAGCCCCAGCTGTGCTCCTATGCTCCTTCTGCTGCCCTGGCACCCGCGTCTGCAGCAGTGGCTCAGCTGCTGGCGTCCCAGCAGGGCACGTCTCGGCATGTCGGCGCCAGTGCCAGCTTCATGCCCCATACTGCCGGCTTGATCCAGAAAGACCCTTCAGCTGTGGGGCACAGCCTTCTCACAGCTGCAGGTCTGCCAGCTGCCCAGTACCAGCACCAGTTTCCCACGTCTCAGGCCACTGCCGTCTACAGAGGCTACCAGATCAGCCCCAGGAAGATGAGCGAATTTCCTTACCTGTGAGGGGAAGGAGGAGTGTGGTGGGAGCCATCCTTGTAGACCTCCGTTGAAGATTTGTCACCGCTGAACAAACTGTTCTGCCGAAACTGAGTCTTGGCTTCAAGTGGGACCTTGTGTCTTTCCTCCTCTTCTCAAACATTGCAGGGACTAAACAAAATTATTTTTAACTGTAGTTTCTAATGCTCAATTGTGTGTAATTTTTAACACATTGTGAAATGTTAAACCTCATTAAGAATTTTATGCTTTAGTTGGTTTTATGTTGCTTTTTAGAGGTTCATTTTGCTCTTACCAACTCTAATATTTATTTTAAAAAGTCTTAGTTAATAACTGACAATTTTTAAAGGAATATTGACAGAAATGCATTGAACGTTCCGTTCTCTTACTGATGGCAGTCTGTCAGTTTTTTAGAAATGTAATGTGAACAGTCTGAAGCTCTTTTTCTTCAGAGAGTGCATTAACTCCTTACTTTATACTTTAATTACATATTTGAGTCAGCAAAAATAATGTGCACATCATCAAAAAACCCAAGAAGGAGAGTTTTCTAAGGTTTGTCAGCTAAGAGCCACAAAGAGAATATGCCTTTTACACAAATAGGGTTACACCCTCCCAGTGGTCAGTGTAATCTCTTTTTACAAGATTGTCAATTTTTGCTGGAGAAGATACACTCAACCTATGCAACAGCTTTTCACTTGTAGTCACTGTTCCAGTCTCCATCCAAAAACTGGGTTACTTCTAGGTTATTTACAAAGGCTTTAGACTGTTTAGTACTGTTTCTTTATATTTCAAGTTTATCTTTGTTGTGTATGGAATATTTATCAAGTGGAAGTGCACTAAATTTGTGACATATTAAGCCCTGTTGGAATTAAGAACATTTTCAAATGGATACAATATTAACGACTTTGCTTCTTCACCTACTGAACTGAAGAATGTTTTTTCATAACAAAACTCAATTGTGGACTTTGGAGCTGGACTACAACCCTTTTTCATTTGTTCTTTGTAAGTGAAGTGTGCTTTTAATTTGAGGATGTTGTCCACCTTGCAGAGCCAAAAGGTTTCTCTGTGTTTTTTTAAACAAAAACGTTTCATGGCACATTTCATGCAAACTTTAAAATTGTTGGAGTTTGTTGACATTAGTCCTAGCTAGAATTCTTGGAGTATCAAATTGGAAATAATAATATAGGTACAACCAATGTGTGTGTTTGTGTTAATTTACTGTAGGTCTGTGGGGGAGATTGGACTCTTTGCTGTCGGTAGTGTACATACTGTTAGACTCCACAAATAAAACCAAACACAATTCTGATCAATCCAGTCGTGATTTCTTTATTGTAAGAAAGAAAGGAGGTTAAGTGGTTAACTGCTCGTCTCTCACTCGTCGAATTTCTTAAAAATCCATACATTTTCAAGATTGGTCAATGAGTGTGTTACCTTATAAGGTGTAAACGAGATCAGAAAGTCAGGCAGATGGCTCAGACCAGCCTGAGGCAATAAATCCAAAACCCTTGTTCCCTTCATGTTGCTAAATCTGGGTGTAAGATACACATTAGCTCTATACGAGAGAATGCAAACTCTACACCTCGGCCGGCCAGGAATGTGCAAAACAATACACTTCTTACAGAATTTATCGTTAACTCGTAACAAGGCAGGTTCCTTCAACACAAAACAGGTTTCTGTGATATCACAAATATGTTTATGTGGTGGTTAATGGATTATCTCCAGGCACCATTGTATTTTAGATGAAGCTTAAGTGTGGAGACATGGCTGTTTATTCTTATACAATAGTGAATCCGTTTTAGTTATGACAGATTCACTTACTAAAATATTCACTTACTAAAATAACTAAACTGATCCCGATATGTATTTTTTCTAGTAAGGTAGCCTTTTAGCTTTGATGATGTACAAACAGGAGCATATCATATTAATGATGAGGGGTACTGTACAGAGAGTTGATAAAACCTGATTGATGAATGCAATGGATTCGCTACTGCAACACATTACATATATTCTACCAGTTTGTTTATGTGGTTGTTAATGTTTCATGTCCAGGCTCCAGTGTTAGGTAGCTAAAGTTTAAATGAAGAAGTAGAAGTTATAAATGTGTGTTTTGGGTACTAGGTATGCTCTTTCTTTGAAAGGACTTATAAAGCTGTCTTGCGTGTTGTGCTTGGGTAGAGCAGAGTGGTAAAATCCTGTTTTAAAATTGTTTGGTGCCTTTCAGTTCTGTTTAATGTGTTTAGTAGGATCACCTTGATTCTATAAATCTGACAATGAGCAGAAGTGCAAACAATGTGTGAGACTATAAGAATAATGCCATCTGTCATGAAAACTACTGCAATGAGAAGAGTGACTTACGTTCTCATATGAACCATTAACCACAATATTTACATAATTCATACATGTCATAAAATTCTATCAAATTGTACAAGAATTTGTTGCACAATGTAAAGTGCATTTGACCCCCACTTTGAAATAATTGTGCAATAAAGGGTAAATAACAAATAATATAGAGACATCATATGAGTCTTTCCTAAAAAGAATGCCTGTTCCGGTAGTGTAATACTTCCTTGCATTTATACAAGGTTTTTCAAAGTTCTCAAATCCCATCTTAATTTATCCAGAAGAGCCCATTACTGAATTTGTAATATTTATGGGAAATTATTTTTAAGTAACCCATGCAGTATCATAAAAAATAGACAAACAGTTGACATATGTATTGTTCATCTAACTCACTGATATAATATTATTGATAACTAGCACTTTCATCCCCATGCTATTTCAGTAAAACTACCAAAGCCTAAGAGAATTTAATCTGTCCTCATGTCACCAACATGACATGACATCAACACTCACTTTAACATTTTCAAAATAAAATCCAAACAAAACTCACATTTTAATTCACTTTGACAGAGTGCCATTGTAAAGCTAATGAAATCAACTAATACATTTAAAAAACAGTGTCTTACACTTTTAACATTAGCCAAGATACTGTATATTAAAATCCCGAATATGCAAATTGTGAAATATAAATTATTATTTCTTAGTTTTCTCATTTATTTTAGTAATTCTAAACACTAATAACAAGTAGCAAACTATTAAACAGTAGCCAATCTACCACACTTTCAGAAATTTCCATTTCAATTTCACATGCAATCTTCTCAAATGGTTTTGGGAATTACCTGCTGTCATCAAAGACTATTGCTCTGGTGGGGACAAAAGGCAGATTCTCTGTTATGCAAACAAAGAGACTTTGTTTTGGTGCCAGAAAGCAGTTTAGCTGAGAATGATAACATCTAGCTATAAACTCAAAGAGGAGCTTTTGCTTTTATTGAATTTATATGATTTTGCCTCACATCGGAAATAACAGATCACTGATAAGGGAAATTCTTCATCAGAGAAGCATATTACAGTCTTGTGCAGACCCAGTTTGTGATTGAGCTCAATTAAATACAGCAATGTTCGTTGGGTCTTTAAGGGTTTCCCAACTCCTATATATGCTCAAAAAGATGTTTCATAATCTTGAGTGCTTGTCCTGTTCTTTGATATGCAATTATGTCTTGTCCTTTCCCTTAGTGTGCAATATAAGTCGTTTTTTTACTATCTTGCTGCCTCCAGCACTTTGAGGGTTGTCCTGCTTTATGACTTGCTTATGGGTGTTGATCCTGACCTTGGTCACCACAACGTTTGGTGAAAGATAAATGAACATATCCTAGCAATTACTTTACCTTCCACAATGTGGTTCAGTAGTAATATTGTAGTGTTGGATATGTGCAACAGTTACATGTCTCACGTCAATCAATATTTATTTGATTGAATCTTGATGGCTGCTTTATGTTTTACCTAGACTTTCCTATTAAGTGTACTGTTTATAAGCCCCCGCTCCAGGGTGCATCACAAACCGGAAAGGACAGTGTTCTGAAAGAGGCAGAGTGAGCTGAAGTGTGGGGTGACCTCAGACTGGTTAAACTGAAGCCAGTTGGTAAGTCATATATTTCTATGTCTGACTGATCAAAAAAGGCACGATCATGTCCGTGGCCACAGGAACAATGAAGCTTTCAACGTCTTAAAGATTTAACAAGACCTCCAAGCACCTTAACAAGCAAAAGACCTCCAGTGAAATGGTTTCGCAGATGCCAACGATTGTTAAACTAAAAGCAGCAGGTCCATTAAATCTATTCTGGGGTTCTGCAAATTCTGCATTAAAGATGCAAAGGGTCACAAATTCCACCACTGATACTTCTGTGCCTAATCCACACAATTTACAATATGTGCTATACAGTACAGGACAAGCTGCAACAGAAGCATTGTATCACCTATAGATTTATACTGTATTCAACACATACATCTAAAACTGTCAACTGTATCCATGAGTGGACCAAATTATCTTATAAGGAACAAGTAATAGGTTTATTCCATGCTGAAAAAAAGAAGAAAGAGAACACAACGTTTCGGCCGTGGAGCCTTCTTCAGGTGTCACCTGAAGAAGGCTCCACGGCCGAAACGTTGTGTTCTCTTTCTTCTTTTTTTCAGCATGGAATAAACCTATTACTTGTTCCTTTGCAGCCTACGCATGCTGACGCAGCTACCCACCCAAATTATCTTATGACATGCTAGGTACTGCTCATGTACACTACTGTAGGAGGGATCCTGTGTTTATCCTCTCCCCGTCACAAAAAATGACTATGATTAATGGATATGCCAGCAGCCATGTCACTCTGCAACTCACAACTGGCAACCCCCTGAAGCTAAGCAGGTGTGAGCCTGGTTGGTACCTGGATGGAGACCTCCTGGGAAAATCTAAGGTTGTTGCTGGAAGAGGTGTTAGTGTGGCCAGCAGGGGGCACTTACCCTGTGGTCTATGTGGGTCCTAATGCCCCAGCATAGTGATGGGGACACTATACTGTAAACAGGCGCCATCCTTTGGAATAAAAAATGTTATTCTTTTAAAATATTTTGCATAATTAGTTTTTTTAATAACCCCTTTAGTCTAACCTCTAACTCCCCTCTGTATAGAAATGTAGAAAAATTAATAAATAGAAATTGTATTCAAAAGGAAAATGATGCTGCTAATTCCTGATTAAATTATAGAAAAACGTTTTTCCAAAAGTGGAAATTCATCACCTGAAATACAAATACCAGTTTTACACAACTATGTGGAAGGGATCTCATAGCAATTAATGTAACCTTCCTATACACTAAAGGTGTTTTTATCTTAAGAGGTCCTATGGATCTATGTATGAATTATGTAAATATTGTGGTTAATGGTTCATATGAGAACTTAAGTCACTCTTCTCATTGCAGTAGTTTTCATGACAGATGGCATTATTCTTATAGTCTCACACATTGTTTGCACTTCTGCTCATTGTCAAATTTATAGAATCAAGGTCTTTTTGCTGTAAAAAAAAGTCCACTATTCAAGTTCAATACAGACCATTGAAGTGTGAAATAAATAGTTCAAATTATAGTTTTAAAATGTATTGAATGATTTTGTCATTGTTTTAAACATAACTTAGTTCATGTAACTTAACCAACAGTTAAGGTTCCTGTTTTATGCACTTGTTCCTTTCTCAAGTTATACACGCCACACAGTTCTGTGAATTTAAAGGTTATCAAATGAGTCTTATTTAGAAAGTAAAAAGACTAAACTTAATTTTCTTAATATTTGAAGACTAAAAATAATTAAACTAAAACCTTTATACATTTTATGTGACTAAATTAAACTGCATGGTAAAAAAATGTGAGTAGAAGAAATTCAGTTTTAGTGAACTAAAAGAGTCATTTTAGTCTATGTATAGCAGACTAACAAATGTTTGACTAAAATGTGATTATACAATTTTACTTGACTAAGAGAGTCTACTGTAAGTCAAAAGACTAAGTCAAAAACTGATAACAAAATCAACACTGTTAAGCACTGTTGTCTTTTCTCTGAACAGAGCTTTTCATAGAAGCAATGTTGATAAGAAGCATCATTTAGAAGCAGTAGCAAAAATGGCTTGGAAGGCTATGTTCTTGTCTTGCTTATCCTCCATTCGAACATCAGAGAATCCAGTGGCTCGTAGGGCCTCCATGTAGACCTCAGGTTTCCAGTTATCATTTAAAAGAATTCTTCTTGATGCCGCCTTCGTGATTGAGGACAGTATGAGAGTTGTCACCATGAGACCACCTGCCGAAACACAGTATTGCAGACAGCACATTACAGAGTGAATTTTAGTATTTAGAATCATAAAATAAGTTTAACTGTCACTACAGTGGAAAAAATGACTAAGGTGCCCTTTGTGTCTTGGTTCCTGCTCACTTTATTTTATAGGGATCAATTTTATTAACCTCTGCAAAAAAACTGAAAATCTCAGTCAAACCTCCTCTAAGCATTTACTGAGACTAAACACATTGGGGTCCTTAAAATAAGCTTCGTAACTCATCTCTTTAAGCTCTGGAATCAGCCTTATTTCAACACCAGAAAACAGCTGCCTTCACTTTAGCCCACCTGGTTTCATCACCCTGTGGATTTCCGAGGTCATGCCCTTCAGATCAGGCCAGTAGTAGTAGCAGTTGCAGTGGTAGACCTTGTCCACACTGCTGTCAGGAAGGGGCATGGCCATGATGTTTCCATTGAAGAGGGTAACCTTTCCAGATTCAATCTCAGCCCTCATCCTTTCACTGGCCTTTGCGAACATGTACTCAGAATAATCAACCCCAAACAGCTTTCCCCTAGGGCCAGTGAGGAGAGGGGCAGCTGCCTGGAGCCCCAGCCCAAGCCCAAATCCCAACTCCAGGACCATGTCATCTGGCTGAATCTCAACAAGCTTCACTGCATTTTCTTCCAGGACCCGGTTGTGCCATATGAAGAACTTGGTCAGTAACCACCCAGTTAAGGATTTAGCAGGTCTGCCAAGATGTCGGTTGAGCTTTTTAGACAGTATTCCTGAAAAAGCAAAGGGCATATACTGTATGAATATACTTTGTGAAATAACAATTTGTAATGGTTTTGGAATTTTTACAGGTTTTCCTGGGGTAAATTGTTTTACAGCAGAGTCCAACACAACAAATACTACAAAAACATATATCACCAAAGAGTTCTGGACTCCAGTGTTTCAGGAGATATTTTACATTGTTCAACAAAGTAATGGGAGAGATGATAAACAATTTCTTGAGTCTATTACACCTATGGTAATAAACCTGAGTCTATTACCAAAGGAGTATAATGGTGTCTCCCAGATGGAAAACATCATTCAGTTTAATCTGATTTGGACCAATGACTTTGTTGCTTATTTTTACTACCTTTTCCCACTATTTTCTCAGTCAAGCAGCAAATAAGATAATTTGTTAAACCACGTTTAATAAATGATTTGAAGAAAGTGTAAAAATGGGTTTACCAACAAAAAATAAGTCTTTGCTGTCCTTTTTTATAAGTGGCCTCACAACATCACTTCAATTCAATTTCAAGCTTTAATAAAAAAAGACAACTGTGCTTAATAGTGTTGATTTTGTTGTCAGTTTTTGACTTAGTCTTTTGACTTACAGTAGACTGTCTTAGTAAAATTGTATAATCACATTTTAGTCACACACTTTTTAGTCTGCTATACATAGACTAAAATGACTCTTTTAGTTCACTAAAACTGAATTTCTTCTACTAACATTTTTTTTATCTTGCAGTTTAATTTAGTCACATAAAATGTGTGACATTTGTCCCATCTTAAATTTTGTTCTCAGATGAAAATCAAATGTACAACAGGTGAGCACTAAACAGGTAAGCTGTCTGAAGTAGCCACTGTTTTAAATACTCATAGCAAGCTATAATAAATCTAATGCATTTTTTCATAAATCAATTTTAAAATCATTCATGTAAGATCAACCCATTGACATACAACATCCCCTCAATTTACTTTACCAATCAATAAACCAAATCTATGATAAAAATCATATAGAACTGAAAATGGTGAATGGTGTTCCATTCAGTAAAATGAGACATCAAGCTTTGAAAATGTTCTGAACTGTAATTCTTTAGCAACTTCTCCTGAATTTGAGCCAATTAATGAATTTCAATTTATTTTGAAATTGACTCTGTAATACATCATTTGTGATTGCAGAAATTGGCTGCAATACAGGCACCCAAATGAGCCATCTGCAATAACAAAAATTTGAAATTTTCATTATAAAAATGTCCAAACTACATCTAGCTTGCTCTGTAACAGGACCTATGTATCTCAGACCCAGACTGTACTGCACCATTCCCATTCAGGACAACATGCCCCTCGTCCACACCTACTGTACTATTGTACCGTCCCTTCTACACTTTTTTGTATATTTCTTCACACCATTTCTTTCTTTCATACCTGTTTCAGTCAGATTATCACCTTAATGAACTGCATTCCCAAGCTTTTATAAAAAACACGGGTACAATAATTTACAACTCAAAACAGTTTTACTTACCATATATTAGTTCAGACATTGGTGATGCACTTTTATTATATTCTGGTTATCCTACTTGGTTAGTGGGTACGTGACATAATATACAACTTTAAAATTGCGAGCTAGTTCTATCCCTTTTGTAAAACCCCTCCCTTTCATTCCTTGGTTCTTCCCACAGGCCAAAGTGTCATTCACTTTCTGTGTTGCAGAGTTCGGAGTGTACATGCAGGAACTTGAAACACAAACCTAATTTAACCAAACATCTTTGAAAACAGCAACATAGATATATGCAAACACCCTTGAGGCTACTGAAAGGAACAAAAGCATCTCTATCATAATCTGCTGGAATTCCCTGTCAGTACAATTTGAGTGTTTAAAGAGGCTTGCACATTCCTCAAAGTGTCAAGCTACAAGCCCGAACTCAGCAAGGGAAAGCAAGGGTAAGGATCACAATAAATCATAAGACATGGAATTTAATTTAATAATTTCAGGTACTATTATATTTGAATAATATTTAAAACAGAATATGTGGCATGCAAATCAATTAAAAAAAACAAGTGAGATAACTCTAGGCATGCCCCTTTGAAAGGTTGCTGATCCCTGGACTATGCCATTTCCCCCAGAGAAGAATAAAACACATTTCCCCCAGAGGATAATAAAGCTTTAAATAAATGAACCAATGTTGTAAAGTCTATGGGACGGTAGTGGTTCCACTGCTGACAAGGTTACAGACACCAGCCTGACGAGGAGTCTGTTGTAATATTTGTGTGCGTCAGCAGTGAAACTGCATGTTGATTGGTGGAGGGCTGAGCGGGAATAACGGTTACTCAGGGTCACAGGTCATAGTGAATGTAGGAGCTAACGGGTTCGGAGTTACAGGTGAAATAAAGTTTGTTCGAGTGTCACATCGTCGTCCTGGGTTGTTAATTTATACGTGTATGAGAAACAAGACATGGTGTCAGAATAAATAGGATTCACGTCAGGACAAAAGATTTAAAATGAACGTCGCTGGAATTCCCGCACCACGAATGAATTGGGAGGTGAACAACCTGCCCGAGACTTGGCGCAAATTCAAGCAGCATGTGGAGCTCTTGTTTTCGGGTCTGCTCAAGAAGACAGGACAGGAAGAGCAATGCAGTTATCTTCTCCTGTGGGTCGGAGAAAAGGGCAGAGATGTATACAACACATGGACACTCGACCAGGAGGAGGCAAAGGTACTCAAAACCTATTATGACCGTTTTGAAGTGCACGTTAAGCCTAAAACAAGTGTTATATTTGCTCGATATAAATTTCACGAGAGAGTACAGGGAGCTAACAAACCGTTTAAACAATTTGTAACAGAGCTGCAGCTCCTTATGAAAGACTTTAATTACTCTGATAGCGAAGGGGATGGTAAAGGATCGCATCATTTTCAGAATACATTCACCGAGAGTGAGAGAAAAGCTGCTGAATGTTGGCTCTGAATTGACGCTAGACAGGGCCATAGACATCGTTAGGTCTCACGACTTAGCGCAAACCCAGCTGACAACGATGGGCAGCAGCGCGAGCAGCCCGTGCAGGAACGTCATTCCTCTTCATGAATATGACAAGTTTAAAAGTGACATTGTGCTACAGCCCACATCTCGCAGACTGTCAGGGTATGGCGGAGAGCAACTTGCTGTAAAAGGCGCATGCACCCTGAAATGCAAGTACAAGGACAGAGAAATGTGTCTGGACTTTTATATTGTAGACACTCATGCACCTCCAGTACTCAGACTAAAAGCATGTTTAGACATGGACCTTATTAAACTAGTCTTATCTGTGACCACCCCTCCCACTGAGACAAAGCCAATCTTACAAGATTTTGCAGATGTCTTTACAGGAATTGGGCTTTTTGCAGGTGAATGCACTATCCACCTCAAACCAAATGCAGTTCCTGTAGTATACCCACCGAGACGCATACCTCTTGCACTGCAGAGCCCTCTTAAGGAGGAGTTGCACAACATGGAGTAGTCCGGCATTATTGCCAGAGTCACAGAGCCAACGGAATGGGTTAATGCACTTGTGGTGGTGGAGAAACCTCGCATGGGTAAACTCCAAGTATGCCTTGATCCAAGGGATCTGAACAAGGCTATCAAAAGTCCACACTACCCCTTGCCAACGTTTGAGGAAATTACACCAAAGTTGGCTGGAGAGTGCTATTTCAGTGTCCTGCATGCTAGGTCAGGTTATTGGGCTGTCAAACTCACAGAAGAGTCATCAAAACTAACCTCGTTCAACACGTTGTTTGGGCGCTACAGATTCCTACGCTTGCCCTTTGGGATAATTTCAGCTCAAGATGAGTTTCAGCGGAAAATCGATGAGACATATGAAGGCCTCAAAAGGCGTTACAGCGATTGTTGATGACATCTTGGTCTATGGGAGAACCAAGGAGGAATACGACAGGAACCTTCACACTATGCTACTACGGTCCTGAGAGCGAGGAGTCTGACTCAACCCAGAGAAAAGCACGATCTGTGCCAAGTTGGATGGGATAAAGCCAGATCCAGCTAAAATTCCTGCTGTGAAGGACATGGAACCTCCCAAAAACAAAGGAGAGCTTGAAACAATACTAAGCATGGCAAACTACTTAGCAAAATTTGCCTCTAGCCTGTCTGACATCAATACCCCGCTGTGTCACCTCCTAAAAGAGTCTAGTGAGTTCGTTTGGGATGTGCAGCAGGAAAATGCTTTCCAGAAGATGAAGACCTTATCACAAGGGAACCAGGTCCAGTTCTGGCATACTTTGACCCCAACAAAGAGCTCCAACTTCAAGTGGATACATTACAGCATGGCTTGGGTGTTGTTCTGCTACAAGAAGGCAAGCCCATTAGTTTTGCTTCTAAATCCCTCACAGAAAGTGAAACAAATTATACTCAGATTGAGAAAGAGTTATATGCTATCCTGTTTGGATACAAGCGTTTCCATCAGTATGTCTATGGTCGTCACGTTGTTGTGGAAAGTGATCACAAACCACTGGAATCCATCATGAGGAAACCATTAGCAGCTGAACCCCCTAGACTACAGAGGATGATATTACAGCTCCAGAGGTATGACCTCACAATCCTCCATTGCCCAGGGAAGAGCATTTCTGTTGCAGACACGCTCTCCAGGAAGTCACTATCCTTCCAGGACGACAGCCTCAGTGAAGGAATGGATGTGCAAGTGCACACGGTGTGCAGCAGTCTACCAGTGAGCGACACAAAACTGAATGAAATACGTGCAGAAAATACAAAAGATGCACAGCTCGCTAAGCTCAGAAAAACTATACAGGAAGGATAGCCTGAGGAGAGGAGAAGGTGTCCCCAGAGCATTATGGAATTTTGGAATCACAGAGATGAACTGTCACAGATGAATGGTATCCTTTTCAAAGGTGAAAAAATCATTATTCCTGCCTCACTCAGAGCAGAGATGTTGTCACGCATTCTCACAGGGCATATGGGTATGGAGAAGTGTAAACAGAGAGCCCGTGACATCATGTTTTGGCCTGGGATGTGTAAACAAATTAAAGAAATGATTGTAAAATGTTCCATTTGTCTTGAATACCGCCCAGCACAGGTAAAAGAGCCCATGATGAGCCACAGGATACCAGGAACATGGCAAGTTATAGCAACCGACCTCTTCACTTGGGACAATAAAGAGTACATGGTTACTGTGGATTACTATAGCAGGTACTTCGGGCTCGACAGACTTTACAGTACCACGTCCATAGCGGTAATACATAAGCTTTTGCCAGACATGGCATCCCAGAGTCTGTGATATCCGACAATGGCCCCCAATACACATCTGCCGATTTTGAAACTATTGCTAGTGCATGGGGATTCACCCACATTACAACAAGCCCACATTATCCTCAAGGTAATGGCCTTGCAGAGAAATATGTGCAAATTGCAAAAGCCCTGATGGAAAAGGCCAGATCTGACAAAAAAGACCCGTACCTCAGTCTCTTAGAGTACCGGCACACCCCAATTGACAACTT